CCAAACATGCAAAAAGATAGGCCTATTCACATACAAGAAGGAAATGGCCCCCATAAACAGGCGGGAGTTGCAAACCTAATACCAGGTAAAATAGACTTCAAGATAAAATTTGTGAGAAGAGATAAAGAAGGTCGCTACATACTAATTAAGGGATCTCTCCTTCAGGAGGATATTACAATTCTAAATATCTATTCACCAAACAACGGAGCACCCAAATTTATCCAAGAAATATTACTTTCCCTCAAATCCCACATAGATCCAAAGACATTAATTGTTGGGGACTTTAACACACCACTTTCCCCACTGGATAGATCAACTCGGCAAAAACTCAACAGAGAAACCTCAGATCCTAACAACTGCATAGATCAACTAGATTTAACAGACATCTACCAAATATTTCACACAGCAGCATCAGAAACACGTTTTCCTCAGAAGCACATAGAACATTTTCCAAAATAGACCACGTTTTAGGCCACAAAGCAAACTTGTCCAATTTCAGAAACATTGAAGTAATACCTTGCATTCTCTCAGACCAGAACGGAATAAAATTAGAATTCAACGCCAAAAGCCACCAAAGAAAGTCCTGTAATACATGGAGGCAGAACAACACACTGCTGAATCACGAGTGGGTCATGGAAGAGATTAGAAAGGACATTCAAATGGTCATGATATTCAACCAAAATGAACACACAAATTACCAGCTCCTCTGGGACACAGCAAAGGCAGTACTCAGGGGCAAGTTTATAGATCTGAGTTCCTACATCAACAAATTGCAGAGATCTGAAATCAACAATTTAATGAGACATCTGAGCCTCCTTGAAAAAGAGCAGCAAGATGAACCCCAACCCAGTAGACAGAAAGAAATAATTAAAATTAAATCAGAATTACATGAATTACAATCTAAACAAACTATAGAAAGAATCAACAAAACAAAGAGTTGGTTCTTCGAAAAAATTAACAAAATTGACAGACACTTAGCAAATCTTCTCAGAAAAAGAAGAGAACACACCCAAATAAATAAACTGAGATGAGAATGGAAACCACCACAGAAACAACCAAGATTCAGAACATTACAAAGGAATACTTCTTAAACATTTAAGATAAGTTTGAGAACTTGGCAGAAATGGACCTTTTCCTAGCAAATATTGACTTGCGGAAACTAAACCAAGATGAGTTAAACCATCTAAACAGGCCCATAACAAGCATTAAAATAGAAACATCTAAGAAAAGTCCAGGACCAGATGATTTTACAGCAGAATTCTATAAGGCCTTCTAAGCAGAGCTCACACCAATACCCCTCCAACTCTTCAATGAAATTGAAAGAGAATGTTCACTACCGAACTCATCCTATGAAGCCATCATAACCCTCATCTCAAAACCAGGCAGGGACTCATCAAAGAAAGAGAACTATAAACCCAGTTCTTTGATGAACATTGATTCAAAACTTCTGAACAAAATTTTGGCCAATCGACTTCAACAATTCATCCAAAAAATCATACAACACAATCAAACAGGACTCCTTTCAGGGATGCAAAGCTGGTTCAATATATGCAAATCAATTAATATTATTCATCACATCAACAGGAGCAAGAATAAGAACCACATGGTTATCTCAATAGATGCAGAAAAAGCATTTGACAAGATCCAACACCCCTTTATGATGAAGTTTCTGTAAAAATTAGGAATCCATGGAACATTCCTCAATACAATAAAGGGTGTATATGACGAACCTACAGCCAGCATTATACTTAATGGTGAAAAACTACAGCCATTTCTTCTTAACACAGGAACAAGACAAGGATGTCTACTCTCTCCACTTCTCTTCAATCTAGTATTAGAATGCCTAGCTACAGCAATAAGACAAGATGCAGACATAAAGGGGATCCAAATAGGGAATGAAGAAATAAAACTCTCCCTCTTTGCAGATGACATGATCTTATATTTAAAGAATCCCACAGACTACACTCCCAAATTACTCAAGTTGATTCAAAACTTTGGCAAACTAGCAGGGTATAAAATTAACCCCCCAAAATCAGTGGCTTTTCTGTATGCCAACAATGAGAAAAGTGTGGCTGAATTTAGGAAAGCAACTCTATTCATAATAGCCTTCCAAAAATAAAATACCTAGGAATTAACTTAACCAAAGAAATGAAGGACCTCTATGATGAAAACTTTAAAAACTTCAAAAAGGAAATCAAAACAGAACTTAGAAAGTGGCAAAAACTCCCATGCTCCTGGATTGGAAAGATCAACATGGTGAAAATGGAAATACTTCCCGAGGCGATCTACAAATTCAATGTGATACCAATCAATATTCCAACCTCATTCTTCAAGGAAATAGAAGAGGCAATCCAAAAATTCGTATGCAACAATAAAACACCCCGAATAGCAAAAATGATCCTCAACAGAAAGAACACAGCTGGAGGAATAACAATACCAAATTTCAAACCCCTCTACAAAGCTATAGTAATCACAACAGCTTGTTACTGGCACAAGAACAGATTTCAGGACCAATGGAATAGATTGGAAATCCAGAAATGAACCGACAGACCTATAGCCATCTAATCTTGAATAAGGGAGCAAAAAAAAAAAAAAAAAAAAAAAAGGAGGAAAGACAGCCTCTTCAGTAAATGGTGCTGGCAAAATTGGTTAACTACTTGTAGAAAACTAAAGCTAGATCCTTATATATTACCCTGCACCAGAAGCAACTCCAAATGAATCAAAGACCTCAGCGTCAAGGCAGACACTCTGTAAACACTACAGGATGGAATAGGAGAAACCCTAGGTCTCCTTGGCAGAGGCCAAAATTTTATTAATAGAAATCCAGAAACAAAACAAATCATAGAAAGGTTGGATAAATGGGATTGCATGAAATTGCAGCACTTCTGCATGGCAAAGGCCATAGCTAGCAAGATCAATTTAAAGCACACGGATTGGGAGAAGACCTTCACTAGCCATACAATGGACAAGAGTCTCATATCTAAAATATACCTGGAGCTCAAAAAATTAAATCCCCCAACCACAAATCTTCATAGAAACAACTGCCCAATAAATAAGTGGGCTAAAGACTTAAAGAGAAACTTCTCTGAAGAGGAAAGAAGGATGGCCAATAGACACATGAAGAAATGCTCAAATTCTCTAGCCATAAAAGAAATGCAAATCAAGAAGAAATGCTCCTCTTCTCTAGCCAAAAAAGAAGTCCAAATCAAAACAACATTGAGATAGCACCTCACCCTAGTTAGAATGGCTAAAATCAAGAACTCTAATAACAACAGATGCTGGAGGGGATGTGGACAGAAGGGAACATTACTGCATTGGTGGTGAGAGTGTAAACTTGTTCAACCACTTTGGAAAGCAGTATGGAGGTTCCTCAAAGAACTCCACATAGAGCTCCCCTATGACCCAGCAATCCCACTTTTGGGCATTTACCCAAATGTTCACAAACAAGACCACACTAAAACTACCCTCACGACTATGTTTCTTGCAGCCTTATTCACCATAGATAGGATATGGAACCAACCCTGATGCCCCTCAGTAGATTATAGATCAAGAAAATGTGGTAAACATGGGTGGGGAGAGGATGGGAAGGGGAAACAAAGGAGGAGGCTATAATGCTTGATAAGAAATGTACCCATTATTTTGCCCATGTAATTGTAACCCCTCTGTACAGTATTTTCACACACACAAAAAAGAATAACACAGGAAACGTCTCTCACAAACTCTGTTTGGCTCTAAATGTAATATTAATAGAGATTTTTAACTTTTTTTTTTGGATGTACTCATGGTAATCTTCCTTGTGTGAACCCAAATAAAGATGCTTAGTTGAAGGAATTCGGGGCACAACTGGCAGTGAACTTTAGGACCCCTGCTTCCTCCCTACCTCTCTGTCTGTGTTTTTGTGTTTTACTAATTTTCTTTAGCTCTGGACTCTTCATAGAAGTACCTCGGCTTACATTTCGCAACAAGTTTCCTTTATAATGGGTAAAAACATGTTATTTCTAAGAGTCATGTCAATAAAGGAAAAGTGATCAGTAAGAAAACATAGTTCTAGTTGGGCACTGGTGACTCATGCCTGGAATCCTAGCTACTGAGGAGGCTGAGATCTTAGGATCATGGTTCAAAGCCACCTCAGACAGAGAAGTCCGTTAGACGCATAGTTCTAATAAGGAACCACAAAACTGGACAAGGCACTGTGACTCAAGTGGTAGAGTACTCGTCTTGAGCTGAAGAGCTGAGAGACAGTACCCAGGCCCAAGACTTCAAGCCCTACAATGGACAAAAAAACAAAGAAAATAGAAATACTGCCTCCCAGATACAGCATTTGAAGCAAGGAAAAAAGCAAGAGACAAATGGAGGGAGGAGGGTCTGAGAAACAATGAGAAAGAGAGAGAAAAAAAGATGAAATGAAAGAGAAGAGAGAAAGAAAGCTAGAGAGCAAGAAACACAAAATGAATAGACAAAATTCAGAAAAAAAATCTAGTCAGGAATTCTTTGATAAACATGGAGGGATTTCTAGAAAGGATATAGACTATATGGTGAAATATAGCCTAAGTTTCAAGTAGAAAAAGCCTATGAAGCAGTTGGAGAACTAGTAATTTAAGTACATATATCTTACTCAGTACTCTTCAATAGTTGAAGGTATAAGTGACAACAGTTTTCAGCAAGTATAGTAAAATTTCATTAGGACAGTTTAATGTTATTCATGGGGATGTGATTTCTGACCAGTTGCTTCCATGAGAAGTCACCTCCTCTGTGTCAGTGAATCCCTTAACAAGTTTGACTACTTCTTCCAACATCAGAAAAACTAGAAACAAACTGAAGCAAATCTGTACTCATTTTAGCCAGAATGTCAGATTTATAATGTGCAAAACCTACAAGCCATCTTTATCTGATTCAGGAGCATGTTCCTGAAGTTGAATCTGTTTTTTCTGTTTTTCAATCTTGTCCACTATTAGGTTCACAAAATGCAATGTAAAACAGAGAAATCAAAAGCAACTCACCAGAGATCCTTTCATTCTTTCTTGCTGTTGACAATGGACAGAAGATTCTGGAAGCATGGCTGGGAGACAAGGCAAATGAGGTAGTCAAGAAAGAACCTGTGTGATTTTGCCCCAGATTATCCTGCTTAAAACATTACACATGGGCCGGAAAAGCATAAAGCCTTCTTATGGGAAAACAAGTATCATTTATGTCTGAAGTAGTGCATTAATCAAACACTCCACTAAAGATGAAGCCATAGTCTATTAACTGGTAGATATATAGTATAAAAGCAATTCATTTCTAGGTTAATATACATGTAGTACTAAAAAAATTAACATCCCACAAAAATAATTTTAAGAAAAACATACCACATTTCATTAAAACTAGTGTTTACTGAAATATACTTAGGAATGCATGAACTATTTTTTCTTTTAATGCAAAAGGATAATAGCACTCCACTGGGCATTTGTACTCCAACTCATTCATTTCCATATTCACACACCAGGGAAATCATGTATAGCATAGCTCAGCATTTTTCACAAAGGTTATACAGAAAACACATATGCAATGCATGTTTCTAGTGGTATAATGTTTCAGTAATGGTTGTGAAATGGCACATTTCCTTGTATCCAAATACTCAGAGCACCCTTATGCAAGGACTTGCAATTTGCCATTTAAGCTACTTTGGCCAAATGGACATCACTAAAGATATTATGTCAGTTATACTCACTTTCCTGAACAGTCATATGAAGAACCTTGGCCATAATGCTGAAGGTACAGGGCCTAATAAGATGAACATAAAATACTGGGTCATAGGAGAGACACAATTCCAATCAACCATCCTCAGGGAAGGAATTAGAAGATTAAAGTCTTATATGTGATTTAAACAATATTAACACAAAATAGCAAGTTGAGGGCTCCCCAAAATGTAGATCCATAAAACTTAAATAGGTATGAGAATTGTTTGGTACTTGTTGGTTGGTTTCTTACACAGGAAATGCTGTTATCCACTGATCATTTGTTTCTTTGCACAATTATGTAGAATTGCGTTTAAATTATATTATTAGATTATATATTAATTTAATTTTCTATATCATTAAATGATCTATCAAGTGTTTGGGAATGCATGTTTAAGCAGTCTCTCTCATTTTAAGTAATGTAAAATAGCCTCATTAGTATATGGAGAAATTGCTGTTTCTCAGAAACAAATATAGTGGAGAATATCCCTAAATTTTAAAGTTGCAGAAGCCATAGGACGTGAAGAGGATGAAAATAGGATCAATCTGTATCTATATGATATTTTAAAGGACTGTTTATGATTCACTGACTTCAAATGCCAAAAAGAATTTTCTATGTAAAATAATACTTCTTTGAGCAGATTTTGACAAAACGGGTAACACTAGCTAAAACTTTAGGACAGGTTACATGTATGCATCATATATCCTTGAGCAATATACACTACCTCCAACTTTTTTCTATATATTTTTCATAGAAGTCCAAAGTTTCTAGATCAACACTTCCTGAACGGCCAGGAAAAACTTAACATGTTACAAGTAGAGTCAGGAAATCCACTGATGAGACATCTGGATTAAGTCTGAGGGATCCCATACTAGAAATGAGAGTGGGAAGAGGTTGAATCAATCAGTGAGAATAGGATTAGGGATGTAGTACGTAGAGAGACACTTTCAGATGTGACACTTATCCCTCCAGCCCAAACCACAGTCTCATGCCCCCTCTGATTACTAGGCTTCGGCTTAATCCTCAGGCCAGATGCGGTCCCCTCCTGAAAGAGGGTCTAAACCTTCCAACAGAACCAAGTGATTTGAGAAGAGTTGGCGGAAAGAGTATCTCGTGAATCTTGTGCTCTGGGAAGGAGATTCCACAAGGTGGATTCCAAACACGTGTCAACTCCAGCCCAGAGTGCTAAGAAGGCTACCAAGCAGGGGCAGAGCAGAGACACCTCTAGCGGAAACAACACAGAAGCCCAAAAGGCAACTGCCATGGAAAGAGACTCAACCCTGGCACACACTTCACAAGTTCACGACAACCGTTTCCGTGCTCAGCTTACAGCTGGGCAAAGTGAATCAGGTCGCGTGGGTGCCGGCGGCATCTCTCAGTCGTGGCGTTCACACGCACAGCTCCCGGCTCTCCTAGTCTGGAGAGCCACCCAGCTTGCTCTTGGGGCTCCGGGAGCCAGGGTCCGGCTTCTGGAGGCTCGCGGGCCAATGGCAGCACAAGCACCCGAACCCCAAACAAATCACCAAGCCCAGACAGGAGGCACTCGTGGGGCCGACTCCGGTCCTGCACCCAGCTTGCCGTTCATACCTGACATCGGTTCCGCAGCCTGAGATTCCTTCAAGTTGCAGCTCCCAAGGTCCCCTGAAGAGCGGCTGGGCGCCTGCCTCGGGGCTTGGACCTCGGGAAAGCAACACCGAACTTCCCAGAACTTCTAGCAGAGGGGGAAAGGAAAGAACACGGAATTACTGGACAGAAAAAATCAACAGTGGGCGGGCAGACGCATGCGCAGAAAGAACTTCCCGCCCCCTTCCCCAAACCATCACTTTCCAAGGTCTGTGCCTCAACTAAGACTACAATTCCCACAATGCACGGCGCCCGGCGCCACCTGGACCAGGTTGGGCTTGGCCCTGGGATTCCGACCATGCCACACCTCAGGTCCCAGAATTGTATGGAGGTCTGCAGATCTTGCTCTCCTGGCAGTGGGAGCAAAGGCGAGTTTCTTCCTGAAAATTATTGTGTGGCTCCTGAAATATTCAACGACTAACCCGAAGATGGAAATGTGTTAGGAGCATTGCATAAGTTGGCTTTTTAATTCTTAGTTCTAATCATGCAATTGAGGTGATGAGACTGGCATGTTGTTTTCAGTTTTGTTCAGCTCTTATGTTCTCCTGAATATAAGTTACATCTCCGTTTTGCCTTCAATTTTTGAATATCTCTCCTCTCACTTTAAAACGGTATTCGCAGCCCCTAACATTTTCCACTGCTGTAATGTAGACGTTGGAATAAAATAGGTAGTTAGGCAGCATAATCCTTTTCTCAATTTAGATTTCTCAAAATCGATTTCCCTGAAACTCCCAAATTCCACCTATGAAATCTTAAGGAGTTTTTAGTTGTTTGTTTCTGAATTTTGTCTTTCCGCTTAGAAATTTTTATTTTCTTTTCCTTTATTTGCTGTTTGTCCTGTTGCTTGAACTCAGAGCTTGGGCACCATCTGTGAGTTTTTTCTGTGCTCCATTTGCGAGTTCTTTAATAATTTCTTCATTTAATTCGTGACACGTTCCCTCACAGGGCTTTCTTAGACCATGGATCATCACCTCCCTTGCTCTTCAAAGAGATGGTGGTTTGGGGGATCAGGAAGAATGTGGGTTTGGGTAGAGGAGTGAAGTTTAGGGTAGGTCTGTGTTGATGTGAAGTTTGATCATTTCCCCCATCCAGTCTGTTTTTGTGTTTCAATCCTTTGTTTTGAATTCCTATCTCTTCTGTGATCCTAAATGTTCCTTCCTCTCGGTAACTCAAGGCTACATACCCAGGAAACCTCAGACTGGTCTTCCCAGACCTTATCCATTAGACTGTGGAATACATCTGCTGTCTCCTTCCCTCACATCTGAGATCCTGTTCGTCTCTCTTAAAGGTTTACTGTGATATTTGCTGAACCTGTACATTGGTTCCGGCAAGGTTTAGGGAGGGAAACTTTTGTGCCTCCTATTCAGTCCTCCAGTGTGGGTTCTCCAGGACTCTTCCGTGGACCTCAGTTATTCCTCATGAAAGTGGAGATCATAGAACATAGATGGGTATATAGACTTCAACCTAAGTGCACATATAAAAATACAAAGAAAAAAACAATAAATATATTCTGTAAAAGTCAATAGGTTCAGAGGCAAGGAAATAAGGATCAAATAAAAACTGGAGTGCTTCCAAGACTAGCTTTGTTGTGTACTTTTCATTGTTCAAGATTACATTTGTCATCAATTTCTCTTTTATTCTCTTTCTTTTTTTCCTTCATTTTCCTTTACCAGTCATAGGACTTCAACTTAGGGCCTAGGCACTGTCTGTGAGCTGCTTTAGCTCAAGACTAGCACCTTACGCCGGGCGCTGGTGGCTCACGCCTGTAATCCTAGCTACTCAGGAGGCTGAGATCTGAGGATCGCGGTTCAAAGCCAGCCCGGACAGGAGAGACCATGAGACTCCTATCTCCAATAAACCACCAGAAAACCGGAAGTGGTGCTGTAGCTCAAGTGGTAGAGCACTCGCCTTGAGCTGAAGAGCTGAGGGACACCTCCCGGGCCCAGAGTTCAAGCCCCATGACCAACAACAACAAAAAAAAGCCTAGCACCTTACTATTTCAAGTCATAGCAGTGCTTTCTGCTTTTTCTGTGGATGTTGTACTGAGGAATTGAACCCAGGGCTTCATGTATGCTAAGCAAGCACCCTAACTCTAGCCACAGTCCCAACCCATATACGTATTTTTCATTTCTTTAAAGTAGTATAAATAGTCTTGACTTCCTACATTAATTTAAAATTGTTCATTGCTCACATATATGTCCAATTATTTTTATCCAAAAATTATATCCTGTTAGTGCATTGGACTCCACTAGTAACTATAATAACTTTCAGTGTATCCTTGTGATTTTCTTTTTTTTTTTTTTTTTTTAGGTAAGGGGTAGGTTTTTTCAGTAGACCTGCTGGGACCAGGCAAGGTTGGCACTCCACGTGGCTGGGAAAGGCCTGGGAAAGAGCAAGAGCTGGGAAAGAGAGGAAAGAGAGAGAAAAGAGCTAGAAAAGAGCACAGAGAGAGCGTGTCTGGGAAAGGTGGGAAAGAGAGAGAGCTAGGAAAGAGAAGGGAGCTAGAAAAAAAGAGGAAAGAGCTAGAAAAGAGCAGAGACAGCATCCTTGTGATTTTCTAATTAAAAATAATGTCAGCTTTGGGAGTCAGTGGCTGCTACCTGTCACCCTAGCTACTCAGCAGTCTGACTTCACAGCTTTGGTCTTGGAAGCCAGCCTGGGCCTGGAAGTATATGGGAGTCTTATTGCCAGTTAACCATCAGAAAGCCAGAAGTGGAGCTGCAGCTCTAGTGGTAGAGCTCTAGCATTGAGTGAAAAAGCACAGGGATAGCACACAGTCCCTGAGTTAAAGCCCCAGGATGGCACAAATAGAAAGTTAATGTTACCTGCACATAAAGATAATAACACCCCTTCCTATTTACATAGATACTTGTGTTTGTATTGCCAAATTGACCTTGCTAGCAACTGCAGTACAGTGCAACTTAAAAGTGGTGAGGGTAGATGTATTTATCTTTTTGCTGATCTTATGCTATAAGTATATATGATTTCACCGTTAAGTAGAATACTGGCTATCAGCTGCTCATGTAAAACCAAGTATTTTTATTAACATATTTTAGTTGCATAGAGGAGATTCATCTTGACATTTTAATAGAATACAATTTTACTTCATTGAACTCACTCAATTATTCTTCCTCATTCCCCCTCTTTCTTAAAATAATTTCAATAGTTTTTATTGATCTACTTATCTATATGCTTATATAGTACTTTGACGGAAGAAAAGAAACAGTTGATATTGATCATTTGAATATATGAAAACAATGAATCATATTAAAACTACCATATGATGTAGGGAATGTGACATTGGGGTGATGGTGAATAGAATCTATTACAAACATATATGGAAATATCACAGTGCAATCCGAAGTATAGTAGAATGTATACATTTTCTTGTGTTCTAGTCTCGGCAGTATTTCTGAACTGTTTATCTCCCGCAAGTCTTGCTGCCTACCACTTTGATCTCATCTCCACCTCCAGCATTTAGATTTGTTAATTGAAGACTAGGGTGTCATAGATTTCTGTGTAGACTGGCTATAATCCCTAATCCTCAGAACTCAGCCTCTTTGAGAGCTAGAATTACGGCATGAGCCACCAGAACATGGGTATGTATACAATTTAAATATATATACATTTTACACTCAATCACCCTCAACATTTTCCCTACTTCTACCACTGAGCTCATCTTCCAACTGAGACTATGTTGCCTGTATGTGATTATTATTGTCTTCTCTTTTCTTTGAAATCTTTCTTTTAAATATGATGTCTGGATCCACTCACAACAGCTACCTTTTCCCCTGGTTGTCATGCTAAGTGAAAATTTACATATCTCATACTTTTTAATAAAAATGAAATAACATAGTGTAGCAACTGTGGATAGGACTTGTTTATTTCTCTGCTTAATCAAGACCCTTGGAGAATTCTGCTTTGGTACAGAGCTGTTCCAAGGGCCAAACCTGAACATGTACACAGGCTCTTCAGGGTTTACCAGGCAAGCTGCTGCTTCTATTGCCCTCAGCACACTGAGAAGTTCCCCTAACACTAGCTGATTATTGTTTGTGAGAGGAAATGGGGGCCTAGGAAGGTGAGAGATGCCTGTTCCCACTCTTGGCAGGCAGACATCCCTACAATTACAGCTATGTGGAGGACTGCCCTGTGGAATTTCTGAATTGGGAGGATATAAGTGGTTATTTATGGTGCATAAATGATTTTTTTTTTATTTTCACCTATGTTCTTTAAATGCTCTCAAACAACTCAGGAGTACTTACCAACCTTTCGTGTTTTCTTCTTTTACTGTATGTCCTTAGGTTACTCCCTGTCAATAAATGGTATTTCTGGAATTGTATAAATATTGTGGTATGGCACATGTATTTCATAAACACCACAACCACCACTACTACCCTACTGATTCTTTCTACCACAACTGGGAAATGCAGCTCTGAGTCATTTCAGGGGGAACAAGTCCCTTATCTTGGACCTTCATAAGCCAGAGGAGGTATAATGGTTGCTTAATTATTGCTACTCTGAGATAAGCTCCCTGGTCTATTTCTTTTTTTTTTTTTTATTGTGAAAATACTGTACAGACGGGTTACAATTACATAGGCAAGATAATGAGTACATTTCTTATCAAGCATTGTAGCCTTCTCCTTTGTTTCCCCTTCCCATCCCTTCCCAACCTCCTCCCGCCTCCCCACCCAATCCTCCCCAACTCTCTCCCCCCCCCCACCAAAGTTGTAAAGTTCGTTTTCGACATAACGACTTGTACACCTGTATACACCTGTATCCCAATTTAAACGACTTGTTTTTCCCCTTCCCCGCCACAAATTATACCAACATCAAATACAGTGAAAGCAGGGGTTATAATGTAGGGGAGGGACATACAAAGCAACAAAGAAATAATCTTATAAATGTGTTAGAAACAATCGTATGGAAGAAAAAAACATTTGGATACATATCTTAGGGTTCATTTACCTAGCATCACCTTATCTGACCTTTTCTGCTTGATTCAGACATATACTAGATGTTGCAAATAAGGGAAACCATGGGACCTATGTTTCTTTGGGCTTGGCTTACTTCACTCAATATAATTTTTTCCACGCCTTTCCATTTCCTAACAA